ACACACACACACACACACACACTCGAGGGGAACGCAGGCGCCCAGCAGGCGCGCGCTGTGCCGAGCGCTGCCCTCGCCCACCGCGCTCGCAAGCGGCCGCTTCGTTCTCCTACCTCCACTCCTTGGACCTTCAGCTTCATGTGATCCTCTCTGGTAGTTTTCCCATCTTTCCTCTTTTTCCAGCAATATCCATCTTTCCTGTATTTCACCTTCTTCCTATTGTACAGTATCATAGAACCATTCTGCGGTCTGAAAACAAGAGACAGTTTGAATTACACAAAGGAAACAGCTCTCTGCGAGAAGCACCAAAGCAGGGCACCGAGGACCAGGAAAAGTTCCTATCGACAAGCAATATCATTGTATTTGGTATTCAGCATATGACTTTTTCAAAAGCTTTCATTGCTGCTCAACTGGATTAACTGTTTTATAGTCTTCAAAAATTCACTTGTAAATTTTGTACCTAATGAATTACATGTGTCTGTGATAAGAAGGGAGAAAAAAAGTGAAAATAGTAAATTAGCCAGTGCACTTGGTTATTTCATTGCAATGGCTTCGCCGTGCGCTAGGGCAACGCGCCGGGGCGGCGCCGCAGCGTCAAACGCATCCCGGGAAAGGGACGGGGACGGCTGCGGCCTGCAGGAAGCGCCTGCTCGGCAGACCCCCAAGTGTCGCCATGAAAGGGGAGGCAGGGCCGAGCCGAGCGCTGCCCGCTGCGTCCCGGGACCCCGCGCGCTCCCCTCCGCGCTGCATCCCACCCGGACCCGCGGCAGGAACAACCTCCGCGACACCGACGGCAACTCGGCTGGTCTGAGCAGCTGCTCGATTGCAGCTACAGAGACCTCGTTTCATTAACGTGAGACTAAATTGGACATAATAAAAGAGGATTTTAATATTGTTGTACAATTGAAAGAAAGCAACCAGAATAAGGTAAAGGAACTGAAAAGTCCATGCCCACCTCAACGTGCCACGTCTTCCCACTAGGGAATAGGATGGATAGCAATAGGATACGGGTCGCGGATGCCGCCCCGGCCTTCCCGCTACCCAAATCCATGCAGTGGTTGAAATGATTTATTAGACGGCGACACAATTAAATCGCAGACTCTCGAACGCCTGCTGCAAACACGAAATGGGCACAGCGAGAGCCAACGGGACGCGGGTAGCGGGGCAGGTACTTTGGGCAACAGACATTTGGTTTCCGCTCCTCCACCGGGCTCATAAATTAAGGTCCCTGTGGCCTGAATGGCCAAGATGTTCCCCTAATCACATCACTGCAATATTAATGAGGCCGCCTGATGCAACCAGCTCCCTCTAAATTGTCACACAGAGATTTGGTAAATGTCAGGCACATCATTTAATGAAAAAGCTGCCGTTTGCTGCCTGGGGAGCTCGGGCTGCAGGAAGGGCTGTAAATACTGCACAAATATTGCACCGCCAACAGCACCTTGTGCCGGGACAAGGGAGGAGCAGCCCGGGGAGCCCTGCGCCTCCAAAATCCACTATTCCACCCGGAATTACCTCATCATCCACGAGACGGATATATAAAACGCTAACTTCTTTACGGCAAAGACAGAAAATCAGGTCTGAGACTCTTCTCAGAGCAGCGCCCAAGCCAAGAGCTGCCAACAGGGCCAAGAGGCGGCAGCACCAAATTAACGAGGGGCCAAGG